AAATTTAATAAAATTATTATTACTATTTATTTATTTATTTATTTTGATAAGTATTATTATAATGAACTTTTTTTAAAAATGTGATTTAATTTAAGATTAATAATATTATGTCATGTAATAATATCAGTAAATGCATGTGAATCTTCTGCATTCAAATTAATGCATTTAACATTTTATTATTTTTATAATTTCTTTTTTAAATAATAAAAATAAAAATAAAAATAAAATGAAAATAAAATAAAATAAAAAATAAATTATAATCTTAAAAAATAAAATTCAATTATTAAATTGCATTCGATTTTCTTCAAAAGAATTTGTATTTTTTACATTAATAAAGGTCTCCAAAAACAAATTATTATGTATAAAAAATACCAATGAATGCCTAACACTAAAATATGAAAGATTACCATGTACAAGTAAATTTGATCTAAATGCTAAAATATTTTCAGATTTCAATTTTACTCTTATATTGAGTTGTGGAAATATCATATCATCTCCTTTCAAATCTCCTAATGATATAAGCTAATAAAATCCATACTTATCATTACAATCAATATGATAGCCACAAGTGGTATTGAAATTTATTGTACACATTCCATATACCTTAAACAATTTTTTTACCTATATAATAAAATAAAAATAAATATAAATAAAAATAAAATTTATTAAAAATAATAATTTTTAAATTAAATAATTAATTTACCTGATCTGAAAAATAAATATTATTTAAATTATTAAACATTGATGGATAATAAATGCCATTATATCTAAAATATAATCTGCTAATTTATTGATATCATATAGTATTTCGTCAATGCAACTATTAAATTAAATATATATTAAAATTAATAATATTAAAGTAATAATAATAAACAAATAATAATAAAAATTAATTACATATCATGAATGATTTAGGTAATCTTCTTCATATTTGCCCTTTTTATTTTTACAAACATAATATTGGGATTGATAAACTACTTTATTATTATTACAAAAAATTCCAAAATGTTGTATAAATGGCTAGATTCTTGTAACTGAAGGTAATGCTGCTGCTGTTTTAGATAATAATGGTAGTGATGCTGTTGGTGCTGATGGTGCTATTGATGCTATTGATACTGTTGTTGATACTGCTTCTGATGGTGATGCTGGTGTTGTTTATACTTATTATTAATAAAGAAAATTTAAAGTTCTTTAAATGCTTACGCAAAAAAATACAAAATTATCTGATAAGATACCTGAAGATAAATAATTAAATTCCTTAAATTTTGGAGGAATATGAGATAGATTGTTATATATATGAGTCTAATATGATTGAACTGCGCTATCTGCATTCATAACTAAATCCATCTTTTCTTTAGGTATTTTAAATAATTGAAATAACGTTTCATCATTTTTACCTACACAATAGTAATTTCCTATATAATAAATTTATTATATTAAAATTAGTTTTAAATTGAGTATAATAAATTATAAATTAAATAAATTTAACAAAATATTACCTTCAATTATTTTAAAATTTTGCATGTTATAATGCAAAAAAAGGAATCCACACTCTTAAGATCTTTAGATCTAAGTCCTCATTATTAGGATTTTCTTTTTTAAACTTTTAATATTCTTCAAATAATTTTCATTTCATATAATGAATTTTTTTTCTATTTGAAGCTTTTAATTGTTTTTTATTTTGTTATTGCTGCAACTGCTACTGATGCTGATGATAGTGATGATGATGGTGGGAAATTGCTTTTTCTGACTATCCTTTATAAACCCAAATTCTTCTGCATATTTCAGTAATAATTCATTTAATTTATTTTAAAAGAAGGAAATAAATTTTTACTCTTTTTCTTAATATTTTTTGTATAAGAGTAAGAAATATGCGTTGAAAGTATATTAAAAATATTATGAACTACCTGATAAGTTTCTTGAATACTGTATTCCTCTGAAAATAAGTACTGCATGATATATATGAATTTATTAGTATATACGTGACAAATAATATAATAAATTCCATATGATAAATAAATAAATTACTATAAAAGGATCATGTCACAGGATGCTTATTTTCAGGAATATACAATATATTCATTATATTCAAGCAAAACTATTTTATGTAGCTTATATTTATGCAATTGATCTTTAGGTATGATTAATATTGATTGTAAAAATTGAGGTAGCATAATTTCTTCAATATATTCTGCAATTTTTTTGGTTAAGTCTTTCAAATTTCCCATTACAGTTGATAATGGCTTTGATGGTAGTAGTTGTGTTACTATTGCTGCTGCTGTTAATTTTACAATTCTTTCTTTTAAATCCTTAATCTTAAAACTAAAGTTTTTTAAATTCTTCAAAACGTTCAAGTTGACAACTCTATCAATATTATTTGATATTGATGAAATAAGATCTGCTTCATTTCTAATACAATTATTTATTAACGCTGATTATAATTTTGAAAATCTTTATCAGATAAATATTGTGTATCTTCTTATATAAATAGATTTTTACATAACTTTCTTGATTCTTTAATCAAATTTTCAGACAAGATATTCTAATTATTAAAGATGTTAATTATTAGTTAATATAATTTATCATTTGATATTATATCATAAAATATTTTCAAAAAATCTATTATGTTTTTGAATAATAATGCTTGACTATAAATAATTTGGACTTCACATTAAATTCTCTACACTAAGAAAACATAGGATATAAAGCTTCATGTATTTTCTCATAAATAGATCATTTTAAAAAATAATAAATAAAATAAAAAAAATATATATACCTTGAAAATTTGATTAGAGGTTCTTATCACTCTCCTATTTACTTACTCCTTCTTATTTTTTCTTGGAATTACTGCTTAAGGTGCTTGACTTAAACAATTCATAATTTATTTGAATTTATTTAAATAAATAAAAAAGAATGAAATATCAATTAAAAGATAACTTTCAATAAAATTAAGCAGCCAACAAAAAAAAGTAAATTAAAAAATATAAAAAAATAAAATAATAATTATTGTGATATTTAAATTTAAAAAAAAGATTATCATTAAAAAAAGATGTAATAGAAGATCAGGTTCCTGTTTGGATAATTAGCAATTTTTAAACTAAAAGGGTTTAAAATATGATAATTGGGAAATTACAATTAACTCTTTTTACAATGAATTTTGATATAATGAATTTTACAATATAATGGATTTTCAATATCAGACAGATTTTTAAATATAAAAAAACCTTTACTATACTGAATTTAGTAATTAAAAATTTGTATAGTTTGGGATATAACACTGGTTAAATGATGAAATATTAGAGTATGGCATATCATGAATTATCAGAAACCTGATATGATATTGAAAGATGACTTTTAAAAAATAATACACATATCAATACCCAATAATTCATTGGTTTCTTTTAAAGTGTATTAATAAAAATTATTTAACCTATCAATCATCCCGATAATTCATTGATTATTTATTGATTATAATATAATATTATAAATAGCCGATTAATAAAGTATTAATAAAATATAAGATAATCTGATATCTGCATGAATGCATTTATATGAAAATGTTTATTAAGTTTCAAATTTTATATATGAATTTTTCTATTTATAGGAATTACAGATAAATATTTTTTTGGATTCTTTTTACCGATCATTATTGTTCCAGCAATAAAATGGCTCAAAATATTATGTATAGGAATGATACAATCTCTTCCTATTTCATAAAATTCAGATTTTCATAATTCGATATTGCTAGATTTATTATCATCATTTATACTACAGTGAAACTTTGTCCTAAAATGGTTGACATGCGAATACCACCTTATAAAAGCTAAACTATGTGTTATGGAACCTTCCGGTAGATAAATAGTATGCTCAAAAATATTGTATTTGACCTAAATAGGTATCAGTCATATTATCATCTAAAACAAATTTAGATAATACATTTGCTGATCTGATATGTCTTTTTGTGTACATTGATTCATATACTTCCGCTCCAAGTCTTAATCTACCAAATTGATTAATTTGTGAGAAAACTGCTATTGTTCCTGGTAACGAATTATAGATATTTCGATAAGGATATAAAAGAATTACTATATGCATTATTGTAATATTCTACTAATAATGCTAATATTTCTAATGACAATTTCACACTCTTCATTAGTTTAAGAAGTGCACCCAGAAAAGGCTCTGACCCTGTTCCTGCTTTCTTATTTACATTTTTTGACATTGTTAAAAATTCTGAATATTTCATCAAATCAAAATCTTTATTAGCTGTGAGGCTACTGACTGTTTCCTTAAGAGCAATATAAGGCAAACATTCTAAAAGGTGTTGAATTTCATTGACAAATAATGATAACTCGTCAAGACATGAATAATTTTGAACAATCTTGAGTAATTCTGACTCAATATGTCGGTTACTATTATGAAAAGAGCCTGTAAAAAAAATATAATTAAATATCAAAAATTATAAAAATATTAAAACATTTTAATTGAAAATTTATTGCCTAATAGACCATTCATTCGTTTGAAACTATAGCACCAGAATGAGTATAACATCCCATAATCAAGCGCACATTCACAAATATGTAAACATAAATGTAAATTCGATGTTATTTTTTCTGGGCCATAACTCTTTTCAACAATCTTTACCATTGATAAAAGACAGTTATATGCCTCATTTAATGCCGATTTGGAAATAATTCGGCATACAAGGATATTGCATGCTTTTACAAAATAACTCAATATTTTCTTGTCATCTTTTTGAAGAAAATCCTAAGTAATTATAGTAGCATATACAAGTATGAAAGTTCTCTATTAGTCTGCGATAAACCCTGAAAAGCCTTCACCCATTGCTATTTTATTCGGTATCCTTCTAATATCTGATGGTAATTTTAACTTGTTGGCCCGTTCTTGCATTGTTTCTAGATTTTTTGACGTTAATCGACCCTCTTCAATCCACAAACAAGTTACGATCTATTTGGCAATACCCAGAAACAAACAATGCATAGAATGACTACAAGGAATTGCACTGGGTCAAAATACAGGAGCTGATATACTTCCGACTAACATACTAAAGTTTGAGAAACATGCTTTTTTTATGCGTCTTTGATATTGCAATCCTTCCATAAAAAGGTATTATTTTTTACTTTTCAATATCTCTCGGCACAAACCATTGATCTATATCGTCAAAGCCACCAAAGTTTGGTTGATTTCTAATATCAAAATCGGCTACCTTTTTACACTGATGGCATGCAATACAAGCCGATATATGCCCGCAAAGCTTTCTGGCAACTGGAGCATAGCGGACATTTGCATAATTGGCAGTTACACAAAATGTGTAACATTACGTGATTGCAGATTTTATACAGTTTAAAGTAACGATCAATGATAACGGAATCTTGAAAATCATTTTATGTAACAGTAAAAAAAAATTATTCAAATTCATTCTTATATGTCCATTAAAGCGTTTTGACAAAACTAATCCTGCTAATCACACGTATTCATATATTTATTCAACTAGCTTTTTCAACCTTTTCGAAGAATACAATGGAAACTTGGCAACAGCAATCACAGAAGAAACTCGTTAGACCTTGCATTATTTGTGGAGCAGAAGGATCCAAAACGAAGTTTAGAAGATTCACGGAAGATGCCAAATACAAAGCCATACAACACGAAACGTTAGATCCTACCTGGAAACTAAACATTTCTCAATTCTGTCATAAATACTACATGAGCTATATTGTTAACGGTAATGTTGGATCTTCTGATAATACAGGTAATTCAAAAAGACAGTGAAAATCTGATCGGATACCAGAAAGGATTGGTTCTGATGATGCTAGAAAACCTGAGCTGATAATGGAAGATGTTAACTTGACATCAAAGGTAAGCAGTGAAAAGGGGTTAGCGAAATTTTTTTTATTGATAGCATTAAATCTATGACTCAGATACTTTATGCGAGAGAAAAGAAGGAAAAGCAATTACCGATCTATGATTGGAAATTACTCTGGGCGGACATGGAGTCCAAAGATATTAGTCTTACAGCATTCTTTGACATGCTTGAGAAGTTGATAAATCTGAGTAACAGAGGCCTTGTGGATCATACAATCTCACAATGACAAAAAGGTCTCTCTTTCTTATGCTATTTCCTTACAGGAATCAGAATAAACAAATTAGTGCAATGAAAAAAGACATTGTGATGTTTTTGGATCAATCAAGAACCTCCGATCGAGCTATTGATACACTGGCTAATATGCAATTAAGTTCCACGTCGAGAAAAAATCGACGTGAGAAAAATATCATATCTTCTATTCACAGAGACGATGTCACTAAAGAGTTTTTAAGGTATCAAACAAATGCGATAGTCACCAATATTGACAATTATCATAATATCCATGGTTTATGGATGCCGACAACTGCTCATATGACTACCGTTCTTGCTATTTCTATACCCACAGCAAGTGTAATCTCAAAAAATGTTGTATATAATATGAATCCAAACCAATATAGCATACATAATCCACTACTTGTTGATAGCAATTCCTTAATTTCGCGAATGGAACATACTTACATGGCCCTTCTTTCTCAATCGTTCAATGATCGGTTTGCAAAACAATTTAAGACTTCTGATATTGATTTAGTTGATAATCTAACCGTTCATTCCTATGATACAGATATCCATAATAAGCGAGAAGACTGGCAACTTCGCAATACTTTATTAATAGATTTCATCAAGCTTGACTTGCATTCAACGGAGGCATATATTAAGGCCATGGAAATATTTGCATCCTTTCCAGAATTTCAGGAGTATCTTCAACATAATGTTATTCCATTGGTTGCTGATTGGCCAGGTCAAATACACCCTCGGAGAGCAATTACAATGCAACAATAACAGTCAAAGAATTGTCAAACAGGAATTCTGGAATGTGTCAGTTCTTTTATTCCGATTATGAGTCCTTTGCATGTATCTCTCAATAGTCATAAAACTGTTGTTTTATTATTTCATGATTTCTTTAATTCCGCCTATCTTTGGAACAAATAAAAAGCTTGCTAATAAACCTCGTCCTTGGAGAATTAATCTTCTGTTACAGTTAATGTCCAATGCTTGGAAAAATATTGCATCATATATTAAAGAAAAAATTGAATTATCTTGTTTCAGAGATGTAGAATACCTTTTACTAAAAACCCTTCTGGATGATACTAATCCTTTAGTTCTGAATATTTATGCAATGATTTTTAGATCAGGCAACTAGGAGGTATATATTGAGGCTTGTGTGAGAGTATGGTGTTTATTTGCTCGATTTAAATGAAGAAATTATAACAAAGCACCATTATTTTTTCTTTCAAATATTTGGTATTGGGAAAGCATTAATCATCCTATTCTTGAAGTTCTAAAAAATCACCTGGTGGTATTTAATGACTAT